TTAGCGCCAAGACCAATGGGTTTTCCGCTACTTTCTAGCGTTTTTTTTTAAGCGTGGAAGTTGCTGTGAAAATATAGGGGGGAAATTAGTGTAAACTGTGATGTGTGGTGAGAATTGTGGCGGTGAATGTGAAAATATGTTTTGGTGACAATGTAGTACAACATCATTTCGAGCATCGTCTATACGCTAACAATGAATATGTTCCTGCTATTCTGTAGCTCTTTTCCTACAGTATTTTTTTTTTATCACTCATTGTATCTAGAATTTACCACAGACCAATTGCAGAATAGCTGCAGTCAGGTGGAATGATGATCAGATTTACAAAATAAACCAAGCGGAAAAATTCACATTCTCTCTCTCTCTCTCTCTCTCTCTCTCTCTCTCTCTCTCTCTCTCTCTCTCTCTCTCTCTCTCTCTCTCTCTCTCTCTCTCTCTCTCTCTCTCTCTCTCTCTCTCTCTCTCCCTCCTCTCTCTCTCTCTCTCTTTCTCTCGCGTGCGCGTGTGCGTGTGCATGCGTGTATGTGTGTGTTTGTGTGTGTGTGCGTGTGTGTGTGTGTGTGTGTGTGTGTGTGTGTGTGTGTGTGTGTGTGTGTGTGTGTGTGTGTGTGTGTGTGTGTGTGTGTGTGTGTGTTTGTGTGTGTGTGTGTTTGTGTGTGTGTGTGTGTGTGTGTGTGTGTCAACGGCCAGACTTATTGAAGTAGCATTGGAATGGTAATCTATTGGTATTTCTGACTTGTAAGACCATTATATACCATGAATTTGGAGTTTTCCAATGGTTGTATGGTAGATGGAATGGTAGTTCAGGGGAACTCCACATTCCATTGAAGCTACAGAGTGTGGTGTTTATCCTATGGAGGGATAAGCCTTTAGTGTTTTACATGGCACTATAGACACCTGGTCTCGGGGACATAAGGGTGATCCTCTATAGGCCTTGTAAACAAGGGCACCACTGTGCTCTGTGCTGGGTCGGCACGGTCACGGGAGGCCGAGGCGCTTATGTGGCACTTGTGCCACAGTTCAGTACTAACTGTCGTCGAACATGGGTGTTCGTGGGGGTTTATCTTGGGTAGATATTCCTAATTACGGTTATAAAAGTACTGAATTCCGTGTGACTATACGAAGTAGATGAGACATGGGTCTACATCTCTTCGTACTCTCCAAGGGGAGAATTTTGGACTCGTCAGGAGACGAGGAATTTCAATTGTAACAGTAAGTACCCATTAAAGGTATAACATTATTTCATGTGTTTATAATCACCAATTGATATAATACTGAAATAAGTGAAGTTTACAAGAAGGAAAGTCACACGTAAAACTGGACGTATTATTCTTATAACAAACACTGAACCCGCTCTGGAGAGAGTGGAATAAAAATCTGTTATCCAGTGGCCTACACGCGAGTATATTTGGTTATATTCACTTGTTGCCATCTTTACTCAAGGGTGGTAAGAAGTGGTATAGCTGCACTCAAAAGACGGCTAGGTAACAGTTGGTGGCAGCGGTGGGATAAATATAGTGTTTAATAAGATATAATACAAAATTTTAAGCAATCTTTCTCAGCAAAGCAGCTCTGTAGACGGCGAGCACCAGAAGGGAAGTGTGTGTTCGTATGCACGTGAGTACGTGACGTCACAAGAGCGAGCGAGAGCGTGATTGGACGCCAGAGCATGGTATGAGTCCGCGAGAGGAAAGAGTGAGGCTCATTGGCTCAAGTGAGAAAGAGGAAAGAAAACGGAGTGTGAGTGGCACAAACGCGTGAGGGAAGCGTGACGTCACGAAAAGGGGAGGAGTTTTTTAGTCTGACAGTGGTGACTGCGGAGTAAAGATCAGTGCGGATCGAGCCTCCGCTAAAGTGAACTGTAAAACTATTATGCAGCTGGAGCGCATGAACGCATGAACTTTCAATAAAAGATTATTAATTCTTTTTACAATATATTCCTCAAAGTAATTACGGATGGAATTTATAAGTAATTCGTGCATGCAACGTAAAATGCTTTTAAGTGGTTTATAAATAATTATTGGTCATTAATAGTTTTCTTGCAGGGCAAGTGTTAAAGTGTTTTATAGAGTAAAAAGGTTTTACTAACATAACACAACAAAACTTTTCGACCATTTCAGGATACATATCTCTTATATTACATTGATTTTTGGACTCCGTAATTTAAGTGGGTTAAATGTAATAATTAAGTGTTCTATACTCTGGAAAAAATTGAATACCTGTGTAGTACTTGTGTTAAGTGACTTTGGAAAAAAAAGAGACAATAAAACGCAAGAGAGTTGCGAGAGCCGTTGGCTTGACTCGACTTGTTGTTTTTAAGTGGGAATTTGCAAGTTAAGCTGCGAGGGCCGTGTGCCTGGCTGAGACTTGTGATTCCAGAAAGTGATTGTGGCTTAGAAGCGATAAGACACTAAACTTCAAGGGATAAGGATCCCTAGGACACTGGAAATTTACACAGTACTACCAGGCAGTGTGAGTGTGCATGTCCAAGGAAGACCATAACGAAGGGATACCGCTTCCACGGATAGGAGCGACGAAGAACCGTTTGATATTGCGGGGGAACCAGACTCCAGGTAAACTTACCGAAACCTCCAGTTCCCTAGGAAAAGGCAACATTCTTCAAGAGTCTCGGACGTGGGCAGAGACAGTTGACGAAATGGAGCAAGAAATGGCAGAACTGAGGAGAGAGCTGGAACAGCTGAGAGCTGAACGGGCTAATCAGCTAGAGGCAGCTCGACCTGCGGTGCCAGATTCCGCGGGAGGTACAGTAAGGGCGGTACCAGTGGAAATGGTGCAGAGGAGTCGATGTGTCCCTATGTTTAAGGGAATCGACGACGAGCTGACAGGAGGAGAATGGATTGCCCGGGTCGAGTCTGAAATAGAGCGGACCGCAACCCAGGGAGATGCTGCGAAGGTAAATTTGCAGTCAGTTACATTCACCCTGACAAGGGAAACCTATGAAGCTTAAATGTTTCCTCTGTGAAGAAGAAGGCCATATGGTTATAAACTGTCCACAGAAGAGAGGTTATGGAACAGGCAGAGAGTCAAAAAACCCTTTGACTCCGTCCCAGAGGGACGGCCACAACATGGAATAAAAGTAAAAGATACAATGGTACGGGCAGGAGCTGAACGCCTCATCATTCCTATGTTAGCGTCTTCTCTTCCCAGATACCTAATGACTAGGGTGAAGGTGCCTAATAGTCAAAAGTCTTTTACTGCAGTTGGGACTCCGGGGCGAGCCCAACATTAGTTAAGTATTCTATGTACCGGGAGCAGGAGGAGGTGAAAGAGAGGGGCCAAAAGGATCCAAGGAACCTTCCTTCTCCGCTTGAACCACGTAAACTGCTCGTGAGTGGAATACTTGAGGGAGAACCGGTGAAGGCACTGGGGGAGGCCCAAATGACCTTCAAAATGGGAGGAAAAGTATTCTCTCATAGGTGCTACGTATTTCAGGACGAGATCATTAACTTTCCGGGGGATTGTGATGTTCTTGTTGGTTCGTCCTTAATGCACCAATATAAATTACTATTAGATTTTGATAAATGGAGAATTTGTCAAGGATCTAAAGTCCTGCAGAAAGGTATGGTAAACCAGGAGGGACACAAACCGGTTCAAGCACCTAAGGTGGCAGGGAGTCACCAGGTGGATGAGAGTATGGAGGACCAGAGCAAAGAATCTAAGGTAGATTTAGCAGAGGATCAAAGTAACTCTCAGGAATATGCAGTGGTTTCATTGGAAACTATCACTGTACCTCCAGGTAAGGCAGCTGTATTAGCAGGATGTCTTAAAAGGAAAGGTGGAAAAATGCAGGATGGAATCCCGATAATGGTAAAAGGAAATCCATTACAGGAGGATTTTGTTATCATTCCTGTTATATGCAAAGCAGAGGATCAGGTGAGAGTCCTAGCTTGTAACTGGGGTAGAGTACCAGTATTAATCCACCAAAAACGGAGGATAGCCCAGGCATTCCCTATGGAAGATGCAGAAGTGGAACTGTGGGGAAACCTAGGCAAAGGTCACATTGAAAAGCAAAAAGTGTTTGCTAAATTAGCAATAAATGCTGTGATAACGGAACTACCAGACAGTGGAGATGAAGACGATGACCCATTGGAACAGGCACTCCAGATCGACCCTCAGCAGGTGAAATTAGGGCAGGACTCAATTCTCACTGAGGATCGCTTTCAGAAATTATTGAGAGAATTAAGGGCGGATAATTGGGAATTATCTCCAAGCCAAAGGAAAGACGCAGAAAAGGTTTTGCGAGACTTTCAGGTAGCCTTTAATTTGAAGGAGGAGCCACTGGGAAAAACAAACTTGGTTTCTCATCGAATAGATACAGTCGATGAAGGAAAGGTGTATATTCCACCCAGGTTTATTCCCTATGCAGTACGACCATCTGTGGAGGCAGAGGTCCAAGCCTTGATGGATCAAGGTCATATAAGGGTTAGTTCATCGGAATGGAATGCTCCAATTGTCTTGGTGAAGAGGAAGGATAATTCACATCCAAGGTTGTGTGTGGATTACCGGGCTCTGAATGCTAAAACGAGACCGGAATTTTATCCCTTACCTCTAATTGAGGATATCTTGTATCAAGTTAGTCAAAGTAAGTGGTTTTCCACACTAGATTTAAGGAGTGGATATCACCAGGTGCCACTAGACGAGGACTCTAAGGAGAGATCCGCATTCTCTACGCACCTAGGACATTATGAGTATAATGTTATGCCATTTGGATTGTCCAACGCTCCAAGGACATTTCAGAGATTAATGAACAAAGTGTTCAGTGGTCAGGTTGGAAAGGGATTGCAATTATTTTTGGATGATATTGCAATATATAGTGATGATATTAAAACTCACTTATCCATATTGGCAGAAGCTTTACAGAGACTGATACAGGCGGGGCTGAAGGCCAGTCCTGAAAAATCACATCTATTCCAAAAGGAGGTTAATCTTCTTGGACATAGAGTAGGACAAGGGAATGTGAAACCTGCGCTAGACAAATTAGC